CACAACAAACTTAAACCTATAATTCTCAAAAACAAATGTAGCCACCCAAAACATAATTGGATGAGAGAACATACCATTAAACCATATAGATTGATTGGATTTTCAAACGTAAAGGACAAGGACCAATACTAATGTTATGCAGGCTTCTAGAAGTTACTTGACACATAAGCTGAAGGTCTAATCTCTAGATGTGTTATGTTAGAAGCTTGTTGGCCCATTCATCATCATCAAAGTTTCCATTTTCTAGCCAAAGTATGCAATAGATGTGTGTGTTTGATCAAAATGCAAACATTTGCTTTGTTTGAAAACTCAAATGGTTAATCAATTTTTATTGCATTTGCAAAAGGGAAAAGTTACATGCTGCAAGAAAAATCTGCAAATCACATTATCAAACTTAAGACACTCCTCCTCTGCATTCACTGGACAGGATTGACTCAAACGCAAGAAATTAGATTTGTTTAATACATGCTGAGAGACCATGTTGGGTTTATGAAATCGGATAGAGAAGGAGAGAACAAATTTGGTTTTTCTTTTCTTGTTTTTTAATTTTGGGTGATATGGTAAACTTCATAACCTCAAACCCTCAAGCCAAGAGTACAATATAGTATTAAATGCAAATACATGTGTAAACACAATAAATAGAAGATGACGGTGCATAAACTGACATATTTACTATATTGACTTTCAACAAGCTCCCTTAAACTCAAGTTGCTCAAATAAGTTCCCATTAGAACAATCGCCAAAGAAATAGTAATATAGCAGGAACAATCACCAAAAAAAATTACAAGGACTAGAAAAACTATGACAAGAAGAAAAAACATTAAGGAAAAGGCCAATCATTGTTAGACAAAAGCTACTTAAGTCTCTATCATCATCATAGAGCCTCTTTATACATGTGAAAATCCAAGTGTGAGAAGAGGAAGCTAAGAGAATTAATTGTGTTCTCTTTAGGCTGCATTGATAAGAGTAAAAGAGGTTCACATAAAAAAATTATACCATGCAAGGTAGGAACTATGTTGGATCTAATCGAAAAGGGAAGTTAAGGCTATTATTTGATGGGTGAAAGCAATTAAAATTAAAATTTGAGAGCCACCAAAGCAAAACTATGTGGATTAATATTGCAATTGCTAACCTTTATCTAGAAATTAAATATGAAATGAAGCTCTATTCAACGTAAAATAAAAATGTATGTTAAGAGGCAGCTATTAAGTGATTACTACGCATAAATCTTATGATATTACCTAAAATTCAAATAGAAAGTAAGCTTCTAGAAGCAGGAAGTTGTTTTTCTGAGAAAAGCAAGTGGATACTTTTATAATTCTCGCCCATACACAAATAACCATCATTTGCTAAATCAATCATAGCATGAAACGTATATTTGCATGACAAGAGTAGACAAACAACCTGGAATGGAGCCAATTTTCTCAGGATTCAAAACCTCCTTTGCCAATATCATCTGCAAACTTTTCTTGTTAAGAATCAGTAGTACTAAAGTAGAACTACTCAACAGAGCCTCAAATCTTTTATGAAGTATCCACATGCAAAGCAAATGGAATACAAGTTCTTGCATAATAACTAAATCAGTCTAATACCATTTAGAAACAAAAGATGAATGGTAACACTAGAGCTAAGTAATGGAAGCTGGCATAAATAAAGTGGTTTCAAGTGAATGATCTCAAGAAAAAAGAAACACCTTTTATCCAACTGTTTGTTGCATGATTTCCTTTCTAATTCAATTCAAAATGCTAGACAAAATTTCATTTTTTTCTTAACTGTTATTCTCATCACATTCCTGTGCTGCCTATTCATATGCCTCAAGACCCTACAAAAGCACACTTGAATTCTAAGTAGTCTTCATTTCTCTAACAGAAATCAGTTAAAGAGAAATGAGTATTTACTTCCGATATCTATAAAACCCATATATATGGGGATAGGCGTTATTAATTTCAAATATCAAAAAAATTGAAATCTAATCCAGGCAATTTTGGGGAATCATGTACCATTTACCAATCTCTCAAGTGTTCATTATCTCAACTCCATACACAATCAGACTGACATAAATTAGAGGAAGGGAAAACTAGGAACTATTCAATTATAAATTGATGTGAAGATATACTAGAGCATACAAAAGGCTCCATCAAAGGTCACTTAGATTACTGCATAAGTTCAAAACTCTTCAACAGCCTCATTATAAATTTGAAGCCACTGATCTGAACTTTAAGAGCATGAGCATTAAGCTTTCACACTTCAAAAGTTACATTCAATTGATTTTGTTACCATCAAACTGAACTTTGTATTATGAGCTGATGTAACTACTTGGGTACTTGTCCCAAATAAAAGTCATCATATTGTATTTGATTTATCACGCAAATAAATCAGAAGGAATGGTGCTCAATCAGGGGATTGATTTGACAAAAGTAATTAAAAGTGACATATTGAGGCCCTCCCCATCTTCTAGTAGATGTCAATAGTACTGTAAATTGCCACAGAAAAGGTCAGAGTTATTGGTGAATTTTGAAACATTCTTTTGCTCTAGCTCAAGCACAAAAGTATATGGATTTGGTCAAAATCATTCAAGTTGATAAGACATGTATTGTTGACAACATTAAGGCAAATAAAGGTATTAACACGACCAGGATGAACTTATGAAGCAATACATGCCTTAGAAATTGCTTTTAGATCAGGGCGCTTGGAACTGCGTTTACCATCATCTTCAGCTTCCTGCACATATGTGTTACAAAGCAAAAGACGTTAAGGATTACCATGTTTTGCTTATTTTATCCAAAATGAAGAGGTTAAGGACTACCATCATAATAAAAATATAAGAAAAATTAAGGAGCATGGAGATGAACATCATTGTTTGAAAAGCAAAGACACATAACAGGCTATTTTACTTAACGTTAGCTCCTAAGCATAGGCATAAGTCCCGGACTTTACATTTTTAACAATAGATTCAAATAAGAAAGACTATAGGCATTTAAATTTGTATAACTTCTGTACACAAATGAATTTCTAATAGGATAATGGCCATTTATTATGGTATACCATGTGTACACAAAAATCAATTTACCTGGGATATGTACATAAGAATTTTCTAAGTCGCCAAATTTTGTCATGATAGGATAACAACATAAGTTATTGTTAAATATTTAAAAAGGAAATTTTACAAGAATGTTTTGACTTTTGAGAGGTAAAAATCAAACCATATAATGCATAATGAGTGCTTGAGGGAGTGTGGGGCATACAGGGGGAACAAACTCAAGATGTAAAGTGTGCATGGAACAAACACCCACCAATTTTAAGGTGAGTCTGCAATTTAAATGACGATGAGGATAATCAGAAAAAACTGGAAATTTATTGATTGAAATCATAAATCAAATATGAGTAAAGGAGCACTAAAAGGACAAACGACTAAAACAAAATTTGGGCGCAAAGAGAGAATAGGATGATACTGAAGTTGAATGTTGATATGTATCCTGGTTCTAACTACCAACTGTACTTTTCTAGTTTAACTCAGCAGGGTCGGGGGAGGGCTGACCTTAGATTTTGAATGCTTCTTTGTTTTCTGTTCATCTTGAACTCTTCTACATCTTATCTCCTCTTCCTGACCACAGTCAACAAGAAGAGAGAGAATCATTAGCACATAACAGAGAGAAGGAGATGCTTTAAAGCTGATTCCTCTCATGTTTTTAATGAAATGTACCTGAACGAGATGGAGATAATGCTTGTTAAATCTGCGAACAGTCTCTGTTACCCTTAGATGCGCACTTTTCTCAGTCCCATCCCCGTTAACATGGGGACTCTGACTCTGGGAGGCTTCAGCAACAGGATGATGATGATCGTTGGTGCAATCATTTGGAGTATTGGTCACCGTGACGTCATTATCAATAGCTTGTGGCGTCGTAGCAGGAGTATCCGCCTTTCTCGCCTTATGAGCCTTTGCTTTCTTCTCAAGAGCTCTGTCGTCGTTGGAGCGGCACCGTGTTCGCTGAGCTTCCTGCTGACTCTGCAAGGTCTTGATTCTAGCACTGCAACGTCTTGGAACCACCACTTCTGTGCAGTCATTGTTGTGACCGGAAAGCTCGGCAACCACCATTTTGGGGATTCTGGTTTTTCGAATTTGTAGGGTTTTAATGAATAGCTGCTCGTTAGGAGGAAAGAGATGCGACACAGTGAGAAGAGCAAAATAAGGGAAGCGACGCGGGCTTCGAATTTCACTTTTTTCCCCTCGATACTCGTGAGACGTTTCATTTTCCCGCCCAGCACTCCTGTACCAGACTCTTGAGTAATTTTTGTTTTCGTTATGCAAATTTGAAAACTTTTCTCTTCCAAGATAAAACAACAACAACAACCCAGTATAATCTCACAAGTAGGTATAATCTCACAAGTGGGGTTTGGAAAGGTAATATGTATGCAGACCTTACCCCTACCCCGAAGGGTAGAGAGGCTGTTTCCAGGAGACCCTCGGCTCAAAAAGCAACAGAAGCCGATATATTAGTACCATAAAAATGCATAATAAAATAACAGCAATACAATACAATAGATATGAAGTACCGAATATGAAATACGAAAAAGATGGCTGGTATAGTAAAAACTAGCAGGTAAAGCCCTGCATCACTAGACGACCAATGGCATTCTTATTCTAACTCCTAACTGGCTAGTCTCACTCTATTGTGCTGTAGAAATATTCACAACTCTCCCCTAACCTACAACCTTAATACTCGACCTTCTAAGATGTTTTCAGCAATTGGACATTTTTGCCATATGCTTCATTTATCTATAATCTATAATCAATCTATCTATATCTATATCTATATCTATACTATATTAAAAACACAAAGACCCTTAGCGAAATTTCATTCGTCTTTATTACCCTTTAAAAAAAGATTTTGCATTGGATAAATTTGTAATTTTAAGTTGCTTTCCCAAATTTTAGGACTTTAAAGTCAACTCAAATTTGTTTTATTAAATCTTTCCTTATTAAACTAGATAGCAAATCCTAATATTTAACACTTTAAATTATTAACCTTTTTACCTTATATGAATGTCCTTATTTGACGTCTATTAATATTAACGCTTTAAGACCTTATATGAATGTCCTTATTTTACGCTATTAATATTAAAGCTTTAAAACTATATTAAACTATAAGATTTTCTTATTATTCAAAACTTTAGAAATTATGCTTAATATTTTCTAGAAGTAAAAAAGCACAATAATTCTAGAAGCACAAAACGAATTGAAATTGACATACTAATGAACAATGATTTCGGAAGCACTTACACGAATCAAAATTGACATACTAATGGTTTTTAACTATTTGAAATCAAAATTCTATTCAACAAAGTTCTAATTATAGTTAAATTTTAAAATTGGTTCTAATTATGGTTCTTTCAATTATTTCAACACATATATTGCTATTTCAATATTTTGTTTGTTCCTAAGATTCTATAGTTAGCTATTAATTGTTGGATAGGCTTTTCAAAGTTATTTAGTTCTCTTTGTGATAGGTTTTTACAGAAAAGCTCGATTTTCTTCTATTATACTTTTGTATTTGATATTTATTTATTTGATGAATATAGTATTCATATGATTTTGGGACGAGATTAGGAGGAATGAATTTCATAGTTCTTATAAATTTTTTATTGGCATGATAACTTAATCATATTAATTTATGATCTAAGCTTTAATTATTGATTTAAACTTCATGTCGCTTAGTATTTTTTATGTTCGTCTGTAACTTTATTCATATATTTGATATTTATTTATATATTGTCACCAGTTTTGGTTGTACAAACTTTTATGAGATGAGAATAAGCAGACGACTCAAAAGAAGGGAATAAAATGGTGAGAATAACCCTACATTTTTTAGATGACTAGATTCATTTTTCTTATTCCAAAACTCTAATTTTNAAATATATCAATGCTAAATTGATAAAAAAAATATATATATATATATATATATATATAAAATTGGGATGAAGCATTTGTAGTCAAAAACATTATTTTTGTACAGATATTTATTTGACACGAGATACACGTGCAAGGCACGTACACTAAACTAGTATTTTAAAAGCAGGAAGCCTTTATTTGAAAAGTTAATTTACTTTTTTACCCTTCTACTTTAAAAGCAGGAAGCCCTTATTTAAAAAGTTAATTTACTTTTTTACCCTTCTTATTTTAAAAACTTAATTATGTACTTACTGGAAAAAAATCGGACGGGCAAAAAAACCCCGATTAGGTCCGAATCGATGTCGTTCACTCAAACTTCAGAGAATTCGTTACTTATCCATGTGATGGGATACGCTCCTTCAGAATACATAACATAAATTGCTCATGGAAAGCAACTTTACTCGGTCTAGAAGGTCACCAGGGGCGGAGGTACAGTAGTGGGTGCGGGTTCGGGTAAACCCAGTGACTTTTTTCGAAACCCTGTATTTGTATTGAAATATTTACTACATCTATATAAATATATCATGCTGAACCCAGTAACAAAAGAGATATGTGTTCAATGCTAAGGGCTGAGGGTTCTTTGGAAAAAGATATGGGTTCGATTCCCCACTAAAGCAGTGTTTTTTTGTTTCGTTTCTTTAATACATTTTTTCACTACGACATCCCTGTTATTTGAAGACAAACTTTTTCTCGTTCTGCTGGTTTTCAAAACATGACAACTCGTCGAGTGCAATTGAAATGATAATGTTTATATTTATATATTGTGTTTGTCTTTAGTTACTTTTTAACTATATATTAAATATCGATACTTATTCTTTAGTCGGTTTGATATTTTATATCAGTTTTAGGTTATAATCTTATTCTATATTTTAGAACCCACACACTCCAGCTCCGCCTCTGAAGGTCACCCTGTTATTTGCTTCTTCAACCCTATACGATGCACTGTTGCCGACTTACTGGAGAAATGGGAATAAGGATGCACCAGTAACGATTTGTTGATAACAAAAGTGGGGATTATATTCCAGCGCCACTTCAATCTAACCATATCAGTCATCTCTCCGCCACTACTTGGCTTTCACTGCAAAGAGACTTTCGAGCATACAAATTTCTTATGCTTCTCCTTGGCTTGGCTATGTTTCTCAACTGATTTACCGATCTACGTTTACATTTTGTTATTGAGTTGACATGTTCTGCGAAATGGTTATATTTTGGAGATGATTATAGTTTATAATTTGGAGATGATTACATGAGTAACAATTATTTGTTACTTTGAGATGTACTGCTTGAATACATAATACCTCTAATTAAGCCTACACTTGTGTTCGTCCTCCTGTAATTTTGGAGACTATTGTTTAACCAAAAATTTGAGTCTTTGGTCAAAGCTAAAAAGAAATTTGGGTTACTGATAATCAGGAGACGAAAATAAAATACTTTTGAGAATGATGGTAAAGCAGCAAATAGTTTTGTATTTCAATAAGTTTCCAATAGTATTCTGTGTCCTTACAAATGATGATACTTCTTCCTTTTATAGGTAATTCTATGTAAATGAATGAAGCCTCAGCTTTAATGATATAATTATGAGTAATAAATGATATTAAATAAGCCGTTATACAATCATTCCTATTAAATACCAATTTTCTAACGTATTAGGTATTTAATAATGAATTTGGACTCCTTTCTGTCATCAGATCTTTGTCTTTAATGCCTTCTAATCCGTTGGCTTTAAATGACTTGAATTGGTACGAGACTCGTATCTGCACTTCGTCTCGTGCCTATTTAAATTCCTCTTCCCGTGGCTGTCTCCATCCGTGCCTCTTAGTCAATTGTTGCGCTTTGACCATTTAACCAAACCACGTGTCATGCCACGTCATCTTTAATATAAACTCAGTTTTTTCCCAATACAACTATGACTCTAATTATCGCTTTATGTTTGTATGTGCTTTGTAAGGTTATATATTGCGAGTATGGTTGCAAGTTGTTAATATATTTCCTGTAATTTTTCTTCTGATTAATAAGTGCAGTATGTGCATACCTGAGAATAATTTATGATCTGAATGTGTACATAATAATATTATACCCTAACAAGAACTTTAGATGTGATTATTCCACCAATAAGTATTTATCAAAGGAAACTGACCTGTGGCACTTGAGCAGTACATGAGATATGAAGTAGGCAACATTTAGGCACACGTTTCTTAATATTAAGGAACCTCCACTTAGGACACGTTTCTTAACATTTAGGACAAGAGGGGTTGATTTGATGGTAAGCAACCTCCACTTCCAACCAAGAGGTTGTGAGTTCGAGTCTCCCCAAAAGCAAGGTGAGAAGTTCTTGGAGGGAAGGATGTTGGGGTCTATTTGGAAACAGCCTCTCTACCCAGGGTAGGGGTAAGGTCTGCGTACCTATTACCCTCCCCAGACACCACTAAGTGGGATTATACTGGGTTGTTGTTGTTTCTTAATATTACACTAGGTCTTCCCATCTCTGTTAGTTTTATCAACTAGAAGTTAGAATAATATTATCAAATTCTATGGTATTATCGGAAGAAAAAATATTTAGAATATAGTAAATTTGTGTGGCAGAGTGACTCCAAAACATAAATCATGATCTTTTTAATGGTACGAAGGAAGATTTCCCAAGGCAAGCTGCATATCAGGCTTTAAGATATGGCTAACAGAGCAATTAGACATTAACCAGCAGTAGAGCACTTGAGCAGCAAGTATTATCAATCCGCAAATGAACAATGAAAGTAGAGAAATCAGTTACCATGGGATGAAGTCCAACACGTAAAGGTGCGTAGGGTCAAACAATCCGCAATGTTGGATTATATCTATCACAACATATTTTCTCACATAGTCAACTACGTTATACTCTATCAATATCGACAATAAAAGTTTTGGTTCTGACAAAACAATTAAAACACATGAAAGGAAGAAACACCAAGATTAATCTATAAGGAAGTATTAGGTGACATACTTTTAATTACATGTTTGTACCTTATAAAATCATAATAAGTAAAAAGAATTATATGTATCTAACTAAACCTTGATTATTCATCTTAGAAGGTTAGACGATGTCCAATCTATCATGTATAATTATTTGCTCAAAGTTTTATTTAATAATATTAATATTATTTTATAAAAACGTATACTATATGACTTGGTATACACGTGCAACGCACGTGCCGAGAGACTAGTTTTTCCAAAAGTGTGTTATCATTAACCAGGTAGCTAAAAAAAAAAGTGCCCTTTTGGCGAAAAACAAATGCAAGAGGCAAAATTGTCTCATT